CTTGGCGATCGGCGTGATGTGGTAGCGTGGCGGCCGGCGAGAGGGCCTTGTGTGGTTGTGGAGTGGTTGCGTGTGCAGGAAGAGACAGGAACGCGCGCACACACACGCACACACACACACACACACACACACACACACACACACACACACACACACACACACACACACACACACACACACACAAACACACACACACACACACACACACTCATATTGAGAGACGGTGACATGAAGGCTGTCTAATATGAATTTGAACAAAAAATACGTATCAATCACAGTAGATAACTGCCATTTATTTCATAATTGAGGATCTTTACTCAAAAACAAACAAATAAGGTATAGTACAAAAATGAGAGAGGAGAGGAGGGAGAGGAGAGGGGGAGAGGAGAGGGAGAGGAAGAGAAGAGACAGACAGACAGACAGAAAGAGAGAGAGACAAAAGAAGGAGGGAAAGTTGACAGAAAACATACAGACAGCCAGACAGACAAAGCGTAAAAAGACAAAGCAAGTTCAGTCAAAAGCCACGAGAGCGAGAGAAGGGAGAATAAGAACGCTCCGATGAAGGTGGCATATCGACTGCTGTCTTGCCGAGTGTGTGTGGCTTTTGGAGTTGCCTGGGCTAAGTGTCTGTCCTTGGGAAGACACTCGCGGGCCAGCCAGCAACACGTGTCCGATTGTTAATACATGTTTGATGATCCACTGCATAATACCTGTTGCTGGCGCTCGCATGGGGGGGGGGGGGGGACGGGTGGGTCGGGGGGGGTGGGGGAGAGATGATCAGCTGTTGAAAGAAATGGATTGATCTTTCTTGGTGTAGTTTGTTGTGGTGGTGTTAGTGTGTTGGGGTGTTTGATAGAGAGAGAGACAGAGAGAGAGAGAGAGAGAGAGAGAGAGAGAGAGAGAGAGAGAGAGAGAGAGAGAGAGAGAGAGAGAGAGAGAGAGAGAGAGAGAGAGAGAGAGAGAGAGAGAGAGAGAGAGAGAGAGAGAGAGAGAGAGAGAGAGAGAGAGAGAGAGAGAGAGAGAGAGAGAGAGAGAGAGAGAGAGAGAGAGAGATTGAGAGACTGACAGACATACAAACAAATAGACACAGGCTAATCAGACTGCAAGACGGAGAAAGTTCGGGCAAAAGCTAGAGGGAGCATTCAGTACACATCACACGTTCCAAGAAAATCAAATCTACATTCCCAGCAGCGCAAGGTCAATAAGAACAAGCACTACAAAGCCCTCAGGAAAGGTAAAAACAATAAAACAAAAGACAGCTGACAGGCCTTTTAATCCTCTTACTCGCGGAACCTTCCCCTAATCAGCGCACGGGAAGGCATTCCGGGAACATCCGAGGGAGAAAAAGGGAAGATAATTAACTCGATAGGAAAAGAGAAATTAAATTCCTACAAGGACTTTCGTTCCGATCAAGTACGCGGCATATAAATAACTCGAACTCGCCAAGGTGAGGAGGCGGCGAGAAGGACCTCTCACGGGCGGCTTCGGTTCCTCATGACTGGCGTGCCCTCGGCGTGCGCGCTGGAAGGCTGCGTCCTCAATACTGCTGGAAAAATACAGATTCACTCTCTCGCACACGCAGCAACGCACACATAAAAACGTAAACACTCACATACAACACAATACACACACACGCGCGCGCCCACATACACACACACGAACACAAACATACGAACACACACACACACACGGACACATAAATACGAACACACACACAGGTATACACAAACAAAACAAACACACTGTAATCTTAAATCCTCTATTATATGTACTCCTTCTGTATCAACCTTGGAATAAAAACGCCTTTGTACACGCCAAGAACATCGATTAAAATGCACAACAATGAGACCAACATACACAAAGACGAACCCAGTCATGCATACACATAAAGGTTAACAGATGTAGGTGGTTATTGATTGGCTGATGTGCACACACACTCACACACACACATTTACACACGCCCACACACACGCACACACAATAGCGTCCGTGTATACGTGTAATGTATGTACACATGAAGAGGAAGAGAGAGAGAGAGATAAAAAGAAAAAGGGAGAGATAGACATACAGGATAGACAGAATCAGACTGACAAACCTATAGAAAAAAAAACACAGAGAATTTACCTACCTGTATTCATACCCACCCACGTCTGTACACATGAACATAACAATGCATATACCAGAAGAAAAAAAAAATATCCCAACCCCCCATTGCCGCAGCTCGAGCCGGAATAATTCTCCCAATCGGCCTTATTTCTCCGTCTAAATTTAGACCACCGCGGCGAAAGGGTTAAGAAACCGAGCGGCGGCGCACGGCTCAGCGGCGCTGTCACGTTGACGAGGCGGCGTCACACGGGCCGGGACGTGGCGCTAAGTTGAGGTAATGGGTCTTGTGTCCTCGTCGTGGCTCTTGCGGCGGACGATGGGGGGGGAGGGGGGAGGGAGGGAGGGGGAAGGATGGATGGAGGATGGGAGGGAAGGAGAGAGGGAAGGGATGGACAATGGGAGGGGGAGGAGGAAGGATGGATGGACAAGGAGGGAAGGAGGAGGGGAGGAGGATGGATGATGGGATGGGAGGGAGGAAAGGAGGGGAGGGAGGGGGAAGGATGGATGGACGATGGGAGGAAGGGAAGGGAGGGAAGGATGGGAGAGGATGTGTGAAAGGAGGAAGGAGGAAGAGTGAGAAAGCGAGGGGAGAGGGAGAAGGAGGTGGATGAATAGGCGAGGGGGGAGGGAAAAAAGGAAAAGACTGGAAGTGGGAGGAGGGAAAGAGGATATATGGGGGAGGGGAAAGGGAGCGAGAGAGGGAGGGGAGAAAGGGTGAAAGGGAGGTCAGGAGAAACCGGGGGCTTACAAGATGGAAAAGAGAAAGAAAGAAGGAGAGAAAAAGGTGGGAGAGTAAAATGGTAGGCAGATAGATAGATGGATAGATAGACAGGTAGATGAATGAATGTTTAGATATACAAATAGATAGATATTTAGATAAATTGACAAAATAAACGCATAGATAGATAAACAGAGAAACAGAGAGAGAGAGAGCGATTTAAAAAGAGAGAGAGAGCGATTTAAATTCCGTCTGACCCTCTCTAACACTTCCTGCCTTCCCCTTCCCCCCTCACCCCCCACCCCATCCTCAATCCCTTTTCCTCAACTCCCTCCCCTCCCCTCGGCCCCCTCCTCCTCCTCTCCAAGGCTAGTTCACATCCCCAGCAGGAGCTCGAGGGCGAACGAGCGTCACCGAGCACTTTGCGTCGTGTTGTGAGCGTCGGTTCCTGCAGCGGCGCTCAAGGACGAGAGAGCGAGGTCCTCGGCGCTGGATTTTCCCGCGGTTTTCTGCCCGGCGCGAAAGTATTCTTCCGCGCGTAAATCGGTGGAAATGGTGAGACTGGAAACGCGAGGTTCCCTTTCTTCTTCTTCTTATCTTCTTTCTTCGTGTTGTTCTCCTCCTCTTCTTCTTTGTTATTTTTCTATTTTTTCCCCTTCTTTTCCATTCTTCTTTCTCTTGGCTTTTCGTTTTTTTCTCTCCCTTTTCTTCTCCATCTCCCTCATCGCCTCCTCTTTTTTTTCCCGATCTTCTTCTCCTTCACCATCTTCCTTCTTCTTCTTCCTTCGTAGGAAACTTGGTCATATCATCCGCCCTTGATCATGATGACATTTCTTCGAGGTGACTTGCACCCGGCGCTCACTCACCCTCATGACATGTACAGATTCGGCGTACACTACTGCAACCACCCCTGGCAGCGTGCATTAGCCGAAGCAACACGCACTCAAACCAGAAAGAACAGGCTTAGATATAACTCGTGGCTGCAAGAGTAGGGGCTAAAGAACACTTGGATGGGAGAGCCGAAGGGGGCAGACAGACCACGTGAACGCAAGTCACATGGATGGCTGTTGGAAACCCACACGGAGAGACCAAGAGCATATGATTGGCGATGCAGCGGCGCCATGCTGCCCTGATAGCAGACCCGCACGATGGAAACTCCTATTGACGTGTGTCACAACACGCAAACAGAGAGGTATTAGATACGTTTACTAAAAGCACGGATTTGGAAACGTGCAGATGCCCTTTTCCCGAATGCCTCTCGGGCGGTGCACGCCTTAATAACATTACTTCAATTTATGCCTTCCTCTCTCCCTCTCTTCAGCCCCCCTCCACACTCACCTCCTCCTCGACAAGGCCACGGCGGCCTTGCAAGAAACAGACCTTTCCTTAAAGGTCTGCCAACTCTTGGATCTTTTAAGGAGAGCAATTTTCTAGAATATTGTGAAATCTGGGTCCCTTAAAATCTTGTTAGGACTCTGCTCAGTAGGTCGTTTGCATGTCGTTGCCGGGGCCCAAGAAGCGGGGAAGAGAAGATAATAGATTATGACGCAGTTCTTGATAAAGGCATAGAGGCAGCAACGGAGAATAAGTGTGAAGAAAAGCATGGGCGGCTTAGGGTGGGGGTCAAGGTCAGTATGGTCTCAAAGAAGGGGGAAAAGGGCGGGTGATGCCCTTAGTTGATCGGTCAAATTATCTGGGAAAATTTACGGCACATATCTAAAAAAAAAATAAATAAAAATAAAATACATATTCGTGTACATACATACACATATACACCCATATGTATGCATGTATAAATAATGTCTGTGTATACGTGCATGTGTACTTATGTAAGAATGTATGCACGTGTATGTTTTTAGACATGCTTATAGCTATATACCCCGGCTCTACCACACACAGATACGAGAAGATAAAGAGATCGACCAAAGCCGAAAACATCAGCAAAAACAGACGTCAAAAAGCCCAGGCGATCAGATCCACGTGTCTCGCCCTTTGGAAGCAGATAAAGACCAGAAAAAAGAGAAAAAAAAACAAAGATAAGGAAGATAATATTGTTCTCTCGCGTCGTAGAAAGTCCTTTCCTTTCCCTCGACGAAGGGAGGGGATAGAGAGAGGGAGAAACTCACTTCCGGGAAGACAAGTGCAGCGCGCGCGAGCTCAGGTGCGGCGGCGTCCGTCACTTGTCACGAGGCATTGTGGGAGAGGAAGCGGTTCTGCTGGTCCGCGGAGGCTGCGTGGAGGACGTGGAGGCTGCGTGGAGGACGTGGAGGACGTGGAGTTGGAGGCTGCGTGACGTGCTCGTGGGGAGCGTGGAGGACGTGGGCGTGGAGGACGTGTGGATGGAGAGGCTGCGTGGAGGAGAGGAGTGCTGCGTGGAGGACGTGGAGGGCGTGCGTGGAGGACGTGGAGGCGTGGAGGGACGTGGAGGACGTGGAGGCTGCGTGGAGGACGTGCTGCGTGGTGGAGGAGGCTGCGTGGAGGACGTGGGGGCTGCGTGGAGAGGAGGACGTGGAGGACGTGGAGGCGTGGAGGACGTGGGGGCTGCGTGGGACGTGGAGGCTGCGTGAGGTGGAGGCTGCGGACGTATGTGCTGCGTTCGTCGTGGCGGTCGCTGTTTTTGTGGTTGTTGTTTCACTCCGCGTTTTGCTTCTGCTGGACCCGAGGGCGTGGAGGGCGTGGAGGCGGTGGTGTTGTCACTGGAGGTTTTGCTGTTGGTGGCACTGCCGTTGGTGTTGTTTTTTGTTGTCACGGTTTCTGCTGTTGTTGTCACTATTGTTGTATTAGTTTTTGTAACTTGTTTTTGTTGTTATCAATGTTTTTGTTATTGGTGTTGCTGCGTTAATGTTATTTGTTGAAGGTTTTGTTTATTTTTTGTTGTTGTGAAAGTTGTTACTCTTGTTTTTGTCTATGAATGTTATTGATAATGCGTTGTTTTAATGTTACTGCTGTTGCTGTTATTGTTGTCATTGTAGTTACTGGCATTGTTGTGATGTTTTCCCATTACGCCGCTGTATTTTCCGGTTAATGTGATTTTTTTCCTATTTGTCTTTCTTTCGTCTGTATTTTATCTCTTTTGTGTGTGTTCATTTTCGCTGCTCGCTCAACCTTACTCGATCAACATGACTAACTTTTTATATCTGTGCGTGCGTGTGTGTGTGTGTGTGTGTGTGCGTGTGTGTGTGTGTTTGTGTGTGTGTGTGTGTGTGTGCGTGCGTGTCTGTGTGTGTATGTGTGTGCGTGTATGTGTGTGTGTGATGTGCGTATGTGTGTGTGTGTGCGTCTGTGTCTGTGTGTGTGTGTGGCGGGTGCGTGCGTGCGTGTCTGTGTATGTATGCATGTGTGTATGTGCGTCTGTAGTCTGTGTGGGTGTGGGTGTGTCTGTGTGTTATCTTCTATCAGTTTATCGAAAACACCTCAGACGTGGATCCGCCTCAGACACGGACAACCAAAACCAGTAGCAATAACATGCGCAAAAAGTCACTTCCCATGCATTCTGACGCAGTGATGACAATTCCACAGCATGCAATATCATGGCAAATAAGTTCACTGATTGCAATGCATATGTTGCACGCATAAAAATCACGTATATTCACGCAACTGCCGCACCTTGTTCCCCTTCCTGGTTGGCAATGCTATTTTCATAAATTTCAAAACTTATTTCTGCAAACCCTTTTCAACTTTCGGCTTCTCTGCAACGAAAATATATGCGTATCCATAATTAGTGTCTTTTTTGTATATTAAATTTCAAGCTAGATTATTTACAATATATGTATAGAAGAAGAACAAGAAGAGAAGGAGAGAGAAGATATGAGGATGATGATAATATAAGGAGGAGGTGAAAGGGAATGATGATAATATTAAAAACGCTAATGATGATAGTGATGACAGGAATGATAACAATGACAGTAATAACAATGAAAAAATAAGCATAATAAAGATAATAATAATGATTATAATAATGATGTGAATATTAATAATATAATAATATAATAATAATAATATAATTAAAGCGGTAATAATGATAATAATTAATAAATAATAATAATGAAAATAAAAATATTGATAATGAGTAATTAAATGAATGATGGAAAACGAATGATGATACTGATATTGATAATAATAATGATAATAATAATTGATGATGATGATAATAATGATATTAACAATATTAGTAACAGTGATAAAGATAATATTGATAATGTATGATTAAGTAAATAGTATTAATAATGATATGGATAATAAATAATTAAGTAAAAAATATAATAATGATAGTACTAGTAATGATAATGAAATTGATAAAGAATAATTGAATAAATGAATAATGATAAAGATAATGATAATATCAATGAGAGAAGAAGAATGAGGAAGAAGACGAAAAGAAGAAGAAAAAAACCTGGTGACATACTTCTGGATCAACAAACAAAGCAGTTTTTTTTTTTTTTTTTTTTTTTTTTTTTTTTTTTTACACAAACTTGTTTATGGTCTGATGTGACTCCTGAGTTGCGGCATAGGTGTTCGACGAAGCTTAATTACTAGGAGCTGAGTGGATGGAAAATACGATAATATTTTTGTCTTTCTGGTGTGCAAGACCTGGTGGTGGCATTTCGTTTGCTTTTGATTCCCTTGTTTTATTTCTTTTTCTCTTTCAGTTTCTTGTTTGTCTCTTTGTTTCTTTGTTTTTGTTTTTGCCTTTGTTTCTGTCTCTCTGTCTTTCTAACCCCCCTCTCTCCTCCTCTCTCTCTCTCTCTCTCTCTCTCTCTCTCTCTCTCTCTCTCTCTCTCTCTCTCTCTCTCTCTCTCTCTCTCTCTCTCTCTCTCTCTCTCTCTCTCTCTCTCTCTCTCTCTCCTCCCCCTCTTTCTCCCTTTCCCTCTTCTCACTCTTTTTGCACTTTTCTTCAAAGTCACCCAGAACGTCCTTAGAAATGCCAGTGCAACAAGTACCTGTCACAAAAATAATGCATGACACACACGGAGCAGAAGACATTGCATGGACACTCAACACAACAGGAAGTTACACATCCTCTGCGTGTATTGTCTTCTGAGCAAGTGCGAACAGGAACTAGCATGGTTTTAAAACGCGGATGTTACGGTGCAGCTGCATTGTCGAGGTGACGAGTGCGTGCAGACTTAGGCATACAGTATGTGCGTTTGTAGATTGTGTGGGGTGCGATTTTTTTTCCTGGGGGGGGGAGGAGGTGCAGGCTGTGTGTGTTTGTTGCATGTGGGGTGTGTTGGGTGTGTTTGTGTGTGTGTGTGTGTTGTGTGTGTAGGCGCGTGTGTGTGTGTGTGTGTAGGCGCGCCTGTGTGTGTGTGTGTGTGTAGGCGCGCCTGTGTGTGTGTGTGTGTGTGTGTGTTGTGTGCGTGCGTTATGCATGTGTATATGTGCGCACAGTGTAATACAGTGTATATCCACTCACACACGAACGCATTCCCGAACCCCTCCTGATTAGCCCCCAGCAGGCAGCCGCCCCGACCGCCTCGCTAGTTAGCGTCTGGAGAGCGAGCGCCATCCGCTATCCTTGACGCGTGACTCATCGCCGGTGATAACGGCCTGGGATATCCTTGAGGAGCCGAGCCTGGTACACACCGCGTCCCCGAGAAGTCCTCCTTACTGCCAGGTTCCTTGTCTTAATCGGAGGCGATGGACTCCTGCTTGAGGGAGAGAAGGAGGGCGGCCGATGGCGGGGTTCTCTGCGAAGGGAAGGAGGAGGGTCGGGTGGTGCGCTGTGCGTGGCGCTGTTTGTTTTGTTTAGTCTGGGTTATCTCCCGTCTGCTTTTTTGTCTCTGTCGGGCTCTCTCTCTCTCTCTCTCTCTCTCTCTCTCTCTCTCTCTCTCTCTCTCTCTCTCTCTCTCTCTCTCTCTCTCTCTCTCTCCTCTCTCTCTCTCTCTCTCTCTCTTTCTCTTTCTCTCGCTGTCTATGTCTTTCTCTCTTTCCTCTCTCATATAAAACACGCGACATTGAATGCATATACATTCATACAAACGTGTGTGCAAATCCACATCCGCACGGTATATAAGTATGTTGTGTCCGTGAGCGTCCGTGCCCACGTGTGTACGCATAACGTGACGCTCAGCCTCAGTTCAGCGCCAAAGATGAAACACGAGGCGCAGAGTGTGAACGCCGGCTGTGCTCCTCCTGTTGACAAGCAGCGGAGCGTCCTTACTGATCCCCCTCCCGCTCTCCTGTATCTCTTCCCTCCCCCCTCCCTCCCTCGCATCCTTCTATCCCCCTTGCTCCCCTCTCCTCCCTTCTACCTGCCCTCCCCCTCCATCTCCTCTTCCTACCCTCCCTCTCTCTCCCGTCCCCGCTCCCTCACATCCTTCTCCCCTCCCTCCCTATACCTCTCCCACCCCCAATGGCTTTGCTTCCTTCGCCTTCTCCCCTCCCACTCTTCCCCCCCCACCCCCTCCACCCGCCCCTGCAACGAGGCACGTGGATTCTCTCGCTGTCCCTCAGTTCCTGGAAGTTCCCTTTGCCACACACAGCCGCACATGTGTTCCTTAAGGGGGCTGTGAAACCCACTGCAACGCAATGCAATAATGTCGCCCTGTCTCTCTTTGGCCAGGATTATTCTTATCATTTTTTAAAAAGATAATGTCCTTTATCATACATTCGTCAGTCATAATTCGCCCAAGGGATGAATGTCGCGATTAGATCTTATTCAAGGAAAACGAAAATAAAGCGAGGGGGTAAAACAGTCCCCCTCCCCTCCCTCCTCCCCCCGAGCCTCCCCTGAGAGCAAGATCAAAGCATAACTTACAACCCCATCTGGCCGAACTTGGTCGAACGCGGCCCAAACTTAAGTTCTGGACCAAAAAGCCGATTGAAAAGGAACACATTTTTCTTACGGGCTTTGAGAGAGAACGCCACTGCTGTCTGAAATTAAACACATGAATACTGATAATATAGGAAAGTTTGAAAATCATGCATTTATTTTTCTTTTAGGTAAAGACGATGAGATGTAATTATATATATTAGCATCACTCATAAAGGATTATTAGAAAAAATAAAAGGTAATATGAAATTTCTGTTCGAGCCTTTTCTTAAATCAATTAGTGGGAATAAGTGAAATACTGAAAGCAATAAAAAGAGAGAGAAAAAAAATCTTCTTATCATCGTTAACATGATCATATAATATTTTTTTCATGCGATAGTAATTAGAGTCCTGATTATGCA